AGGACTGAGGTTCAAAGCAAGCCCAAGCAGAAAAGTCCATGAGAAGATCTCCAATTAACCAGCAAAATGCTGGAAAATGGAGGTGTGGCTAAAGTGGTAGAGCACCAGCCTTAAACTGAAAAAGCTAAGGGAGAGTGAGATCCTGAGTTCAAGCTCCAGTAACAGCACATGCACGCACGCACACATATACTATACATATACACAAGTAATATATGGAAAGGTCTTAAAGTGAAACTATTCCAGGTCAAAGTGGCAGATAAGAATGAGCAAGAAACTGGGCACCAGTGGCTCATGCCTGTAATCGTAGCTACTGAGGAGGCTGAGATCTGAGGATCACGGTTCAAAGCCAACCCGGGCAGAAAAGTCTGTGAGAGTCTTATCTCCAATTAACCACTACAAAACTGAAAGTGGTGCTGTGGCTCAAGTGATAGAGCGCTCGCCTTGAGCTGAAGAGCACAAGGATAGAACCCAAGCCCAGAGTTCAAGCCCCATGACCGACCAAAAAAAAAAAAAAAAGAACGAGCAAGAATTCTGCAAGAAATTGCAGAACATAAGGCTTCAAAAGAAACCAGGATCAGATTTTGTTTTTTTCCCCAGTCCTGGGGCTTGAACTTCGGGGCTGGGCATTGTCCTGAGCTTCTTTTTGTTTAAGGCTAAGTACTCTACCACTTGAGCCACAGTGCCACTTCTGGAACCCTGAGCTTCATACAAGCTAGGCAAGCACTCTACTACTACTACTAAGCCACATTCCCAGCCCCCAGGATCAAATTTTGTAAGGACTCAGCTTTTCCTGAGTAAGATGAGTAGCAAAAAGGAAGTTTGAGGCAGAGTGGCATGTGATCTTATTCTGAAGGACTGCTCTCTGAGTTCTGTGCTAAGAACAATCTATAATGGGCAAATATAGAAGAAAATCAGAAGGGAGCTAATGCAGTAACTTAGGTGAGACACACAATTTAGATCATGATTGTAGCAGGGTTAGTCATGAAAAGCAGATTCATTTTGATTGTGCTTTCAAGGAAAAGTCAACAGACTCCGCATGTGTGTGTGTGTATACATATATATATATATATATATATGTATATATGTGTATATATATATATATATATAATTTTTTTTGTTTTGTCTGTCATCGGGCTCGAACTCTGGGGCTGGGCACTGTCCCTTAGGTCTTCTGCTCAAGGTGAGAGGTCTACCACTTGAGCCATAGTACCACTTCCAGTTTTCTGGTGATTAACTGGAGATAAGAGTCTCAAGGACTTTTTTGCCTGGGCTGGCTTTGAATTAGTGATCCTCAGATCTCAGCCTCTTGAGTAACTAGGATGACAAGCATGAGACACCAGTGCCCGACTCAAACTCCATACTTTAATGGTCCAAAAAGTAGAGGACTGAGTTGTCATTTACTGACATGAAGATGACTACAATAAGGGACATTTATTGTTCATTCAATAAATGAATTTTTTGTTGTTGCTGTTGTTTCTTTTGTTGGTTGTGGGGCTTGAACTCTGTGCCTGGGCACTGTCCCTTAGCTCTTTAGCTCAAGGCTAGTGCTCTATCACTTGAGCCATAATGCCTCTTCCAGTTTTCTGAGTAGTTTATTGGAGATAAGAGTCTCACACTTTCTTGCCTGGGCTGGCTTTGAACCGTGATCCTTAGATCTCAGTCTCCTGAGTAGCTAGGTTTACATGCCTGGCCAATAAATGAATTATTTACTGGATTATTAGATGAAGGAATAGAGAGCATAAGATTGGTTTGGATGTTAAATTCAGCTTCTGAGAAAATATGCCAGGTGTAAGCAGAGTGATTACTTAGAAAACTTTATAATCCATGAGAAAAGAGGTGATTTGGATCAGGTATCTTGGCAGTGAAGATGTGAAATGTAGGGATACACAAAATTTGCTGATGGAGTGATGAAGGACAAGACAAAGAAGAATCACTGGTCCATACAAGGTTTTGGGTCTCACTAACAGCTGGAACTGCTGGGCTAACTGACATGGGCAAGACTGTAGGAAGTACAAATGTGAAGGAAACTAACTTTGCAGAAATGTCAACTAGGCTCTATGAGTTATAAATCTGGAGTATAGAGGAAAGGTCAAAGTCCGAGAAATAAATTTGAGTTATCCTTATACAGATGATATTTAAAGCCATGAGACTAGAAAAAGAGCAAAAGAAAAGATGGGAAAGAAATCCAAGGACTAAGCTGTGGGACACTATATTGAGATCAGAGATGGGGGTAAGGAGAAGAAACTGGGAAGTAATGGCCAGTTGAAGTTGGGAGGGAGATCAAAGGCTCTGGTAGTGCAGAAGCTAAGTGCTAGTATACTTTCAAGGGAAAAGACAGATCAAGTGTGTTTAATTTTATCAGCGAAGTAAGACGAAATCTGAGAATGACAATTGGATTTAGCAATGTTGAAGTCACCTTAAGTAGTCTTTTGGTTTGATCATGTTTTGTTGTTTAATCATGATATTAGAGCTCTTGGTCTTCACGAATCCCAAGTGCTGAGATTACAGGTGTGTGGCAGCATGCCTCGCTTGAAAAGAGTATTTTCAATAGAGATGTGAAGACCAATGGTCTTACTAAAATGCAGTCAAGAGAATGAACAGAAGTAGGAAGTACAGAAAACTCAAGGGGTTTTGTTATAAAAAGGAAGCAAAGACATTTAGTGATAGCTGAAAGGGTGTGTGGTAAAGAAAGGTAATGTTTTCATTTGGGGGGGGGTTATTTGATTATAAAGGTAGAGAAGTTGTTACAACAGGTTGGTATAATGATAGAGACAGTCTAGTAGGGAATAATTAATGATGCAGAAAAGAGAAATGCTGAGGCAACATTCTTAAGTAGGTAGAAGGGAATTGAATCTAACCATCAGTTAAAGTAGGCCAAGACAGAACAAAGAGTTCTTCTATAGTAATACCACTGAACAGATATAAATAGGTGATAGGTATGATGGTAGGAACTTGTGCAAGGTCCAGTTTGTCTATTGGTTGTCTTACTGATGAAGGCCACATCACCATCTGAGAGTGAGAAAAAGGAAAAGCCAATAGGAAATCTGAGGAGAGTAAACGAATCAGTCCTTAAGGAAAGTTTCCATTCTTATTTGGTTGAAATGCCCTTCCTCCTCTCTCCCTCCTTGCCTTTCTTGCTGGGCATTGGACCCAGGGTTTCACATATGCTAGGCAAGCAAATTCTAGATCCAAATTTAATTGTTCCTCTCATCTCGAACGTAGCAGTCCCTGAGATTCATATCCAATTAACCACTAAAAAGACAAGTGGAGCTATGACTCAAGTGGTAGAGCACTAGCCTTGAGCAAAAAACCTAAGGGACAGATACCAGGCTCTGAGTACAAGCCTTATTACCACAAAGGCACAAATAAAACAAAACAAATAGCAAACAACAACAACAATAAAAATAAACTAGTAAACGAAGGCAATTTCATCAACCTGAGAAAGGGTATAGACTCAATGATTGCTCCTTAAAAAAAAAAATCACAAGTGTTTCCACTTGGCCTATTTCTTTTAATTTTTATCTATCCTATCATCCTATCTATCTATCTATCTATCTATCTATCTATCTATCTATCTATCTATCTATCTATCTATCTATCTATCTATCTATCTATCTATCTATCTATCTATCTATCTATCTATCTATCTATCTATCTATCTATCTATCTATCTTTTAGTGTACTGAAGATTGAACTAAGGGTCTTATACTATTAGGCAAGTACTCATGCAATCACCTGAAAAAATGTTCAACATCAAAAGCCATCAAGAAAATGCAAATTCAAAGCACAGTAAGGAACTGGGTCACAACTACTAGGATGGCTACAGTCAGAGGATTGGTGAAGATGTGAATTTGAATCTTTACTCTAAATTTTGGTGTTTGAGAAAGTTTGCATTTTCTCAGGAGGACACTAAGCATTGAACTACTATATAACCCAGCAATTCTATTCCTAGGTATATGTCCAAGAAATCAAGCTATGTATCTACAGAAAATCCCAAACAATTGGTCATAGCAATACTCATAATACCAAGTAATAGAAGCAACTCAAATGTCCACTACCTGATGAATAGATAAAATGTCTATCCATAGAATGGTATATTGCGCAACAATAAAAACCAATGAAGTACTGATACATGCTGTAACATGGTTGAATCTTAACATGAGGCTATATGAAAATAAAAAAGTCACAAGAGATCACATTTTCACATTCCATTTACAAGATCTGGCCAATCTATATATATATATATATAGATAGATACAGAAAATAGTTTAGTGGGTGTTAAGAGCTAGAAGTGAGTTTCAGGGGTAGAAGGGGTACTGATACATTCATTGTATTCTTAATTATTAAAAAAGGTTTGACTATGGTGAAAAACACATAACCAAAAATTTGCCATTTTAACAATTTTCAAGTGTACAGTTCAGTCCCTAATGTTAAATATTCACACAGTTTCATCCAATAAAATGGACCTCTACACATATTAAATGATAACGCCTTATTTCCTCCTAACTCCAGCTCCTGGCAACCAGCATTTTGCTTTCTCTCTCTCTAAGTCTACTTTTTGCAGTTTAAATGAGTGGAATCATACAATATTTTTGTTCTTGGAACTAACAGATTTCACTTAGCATAATGTTTTAACGTACAATAAGATTTCCTTCCTTTTTAAGTCTGAAAACTATTCTCTTGTAAGTATGCTCCATATTTTGTTTATCCATTTATTTACTGATGGATACTTGGGGTATGTCCACCTTTTAGCTATTATGAAGAATGCTATTATGAATATGGTCACACTGTATCTGCTTCAAATCTTGCTAGATAATGGAGCTTTTTTTTTAGTAGTGAAAATGTAACAGTGGTAAAGGTTGTACAACCCTGTGAATATACTAAAAACTGGAAATGGAAATTCTTACTTGATTTGATCCAAGTTCACCAGATTTTTAAGAAAGAGAAATAAAGCTTCCTAACTCATTTTTTAAAATCTCACAATTATTTCACATAAAAGATATGCAAAAGATAGAGGATTTATTTGACTTTTTACAATTAAAAAAATATATTTAAAAAAAGACTCTGAGGTTCACTTCACTGAAAGGGGAGAGTCAATAAATTAAAAAATAAAAAAAAAAGGAGAGAAATTTTTGAGAAGGAAACATATACCAAATTCAAACTGTTATATAAAATTGGGAAAGCTCAGAAACCCATTTCATCATTTTTTTTTTTTTTTGCTTTAGCCAGACATTTTCAACATGGTCAAGGCTCAAGACAGTTTTAGAAAGATTTCTCATAAGGTCCTCTGATCAGAGCAAGATAAGAGAAACCTTACCTGTCTGATCAAAAAAGAGACATGTTTGAGTCAATTTTCAGTCTTGGTCCCAAAGCAGATATCTAATTATAAAGATAATTACTATGTACAACAGTATTTCTTTCCAGATACAACACCTTATACACTTTATAGTTTTTCTCGGTAATTTCTCAGAGATGAATTTAGGAGGAGGCTGAAATACTACTTGATGTTTCAGCTGACTTCTGATTCTTATTAGAGATTCTTTTCAAAGTCCGTCTGTTTGCAGAAGCAAAATTACGAATGGCACTTCGAAGAGTTGAGTTCCCCTCAGAGATATCTGCAGAATTGATGACTGAATATAATGCCCGATTATATGCTGCAAATAAAGGTTTCCACAGTGATGAATAAAGTCAAATTCTAATAAACTCGATTACCCACTTGTCTATTAGTACTACTCTCTACCCAGAATTTCATAGGTATTAACTTTAATAAATATTCATTCAGTACTTACAACATGACAAGAGAACGGAGAGCAGAGACACACAAAAAAATTAAGTCTTAATATAGTACTTCCAGCCTCCAGGCATATACACCATGTCATCACAGAGTGATGTCAGAAATGAACAGAGTAACTGAGGAGGGAGCATACATTCTCAGCAGTACCATTTAAGGTGGGCCCTGAAGGATTAATGGTCCTAAAGAAGTCCTAGGTACATATGAGGTATAAAGGGTGTTCAAAAGTATGACAAATGGAAATAGTAAGTTTGGTAAAGCTAAAGTATGGCCTAAGGACACAGAAAATACGCTATGCATTTTATACTGTCATAAGAGCTTCGAGGCTTTAGAATAGGGAAATTAATGTGAGCTTTGTGCTTTTAAAATAACTTACAGGACTGACAGAAACTCATTCCATACAGGTGAGGAATACTAGGAATTTAAATACTGACAGTTTCAGTATGTACATGCGGCCTACATGTGCTTACTGAACCTGTGCACTCTATAATTCAGTAGATGAGCAAGAAACATTAGTGACAATAGGAAGGACTCTTATTTGGTCCTACTGCCACTTCTAACAGACTTCCTCATTTGCCTCACTGTCCCAGCAGAACTGGTTAGCAGTCTAATATGAATGTATATGATGAGTCTATATTAGGTAACATAAAGTATGTAGAAATCAGAGGATTCAACTAGAAGACAGAGTGCTAACTTAGATGAACACAAGAATCAAACTTTTATCCTCTAAGCTTGGTGTCAGTAGTTCATATCTGTAATCCTAGCTATTGAGGAGGTTGAGATCTGAGACTCCAGATTTGATGCCAGCCTGGGCAGAAACATCCATGAGACTCTTATCCCTAATTAATCATAGAAAAAGCTGGAAGTGGAGCTGTGGCTCAAGTGGTAGAGCGTGAGCCTTGAGCAAAAAAGAAGCTCAGGGACAGCTCTCAGGCCCTGAGCTCAAGCCCCAGTACCAGCACAAAAGAAACACCCAAAAAACTCTTTTGTACTCGAGTTAAAAAATAACAATTACAATGGAATGAGTTGGAACTATTTTTCCACTATAAATGGGGACAAGATGATGACAAGACTCAAGGAAAAAAGAAAATTCACTGTAATAATTATCACTCAAATAATTGCTTGTTTTTGTTGGTTGTGGGGCTTGAACTCAGGGCCTGGGCACTGTCCCTGAGCTTTTTTGCTCAAGGCTAGGGCTCTACCACTTGAGCCACAGAGCCACTTCTGGTTTTTGAGTGGTTAATTGGAGATAAGAGTCTCAGAGGGAAGCCAGGTGCTGGTGGCTCATGCCTGTAATTTTAGGTACTCAGAAGGTTGAGATCTGAGGATCGTGGTTCAAAGCCAGCTGGGGAAGGAAAGTCCAAGAGACTGTTATCTCCAATAAACCACTCAGAAAACCGGAAGAGGTGCTGTGGCTCAAGTGGTATAGCGCTAACCCTGAAGAGCTGAGAAACAGTGTCCAGGCCCAGAGTTCAAGCCCCACGACCGAAAAAAAAAAAAAAAAAAAGAATCTCACAAGGACTTTTCTGTCTGGACTGGCTTTCAACTGTGATCCTCAGATCTCAGCCTCCTGAGTAGCTAGGATTACAAGATTATCAGTAAATTCACTAATATATATTAAGTACTTTGTAAATATTAAATTACCACAGTCACTACTCTAATTTTTTTTCTACATTGCTATTAGATCCCATCTATTCTTTCAAGAAACTTACCTCTGTGATTTTTATAGAAAATACAATTGTTGGCACAGGTATCAGGATGAGCATCCCAAAAATCAGGACCACAACAGCATAACGGAGGTAAAGTGATATTGTACAGCTTCATTTTCTCCTTGACCTGGGCTCGTAAAGCTTCCACATATCTAGAAAAATAGACTATGTTGAGGTAAAGTGAACATGAACAGGCAAAAAGTAAACATGAATCTTGCTTTAAACCAGCTTTAACTGTTAAAACTAGTTCTTATCCCTGCACCTTGATTCCTCCTCTTTGCACTTGGAAACAGCACGAAGGAACATGCAGCGCTATTCCCAAGAGGTATTAGCCAATCAGTACATTTGTCAAAGTTGTATGTCCCCAAAGGAGGAACAATATGACACAGTCAATCTTTTTTTTTTTGCCAGTCCTGGGGCTTGAATTCAGGGCCTGGGCACTGTCCCTGAGCTGCTTTTGCTCAAAGCTAGCATTCTACCACTTGAGCCATAGTGCCACTTCTGGCCTTTTCTGTTTATGTGGTACTGAGGAATTGAACCCAGGGCTTCATGCATGCTAGGCAAGCATTCCACCAGGCCACATTCCCAGCCCCCTCTCCCCCCATTTTGGGGGAGGCTGGTCCTGGAGCTTGAACTTAGGGCCTGGGTAGTCTCTGAGCTTTTGTGCTCGAGGCTAGCACTTGAGCCACACCTCCTCTTCTGGCTTTTTTTGTGGTTAATTGGAGGTAAGAGTCCACAGACTTTCTTGCCCCTCTTCAAATCTCAGCCTCCTGAGTACCTAGGATTACAGATATGAGCCACTGGTGCCCAGACAATCAATCAATCTTTTAAGAAAATTAAGAACAACTTCCTATAATTCTCCTCTACAGTTAGCCAGAACTTTATGCAATGTGTTTCAAATTACCTGATGTATTCTTTTTCTTTCTGTTGCTGTTTTTCTCTGGCTCCTTTTATTTCTTCAAGTTGTAACTGAGCTAAAAGGTCACTCATCTCCTCAGAGTGTGGTTCTTTATGACATTTCATTCTCAGGATCCTCTGCTCTTCAGCATAACGTTGTTGCTCTTTCCTTTTCTTAATTCTGAGGATAAAAATCATAACATGATGAGGAATTTCATTAAATTGTTCTTTAAAATTAGCTTCTAGATCAAATAACAAGAAATGCATAAAGCAGCAAGGAAATCAGGAAGTCAGTTTAATACCCCAAGAATGTCTTCAACAATTCCTGCGGATTTGAGTTAATCTTATGATTATCTATATACATAGCTTCTCAAGAAGAAATCAGTAGTGACTACTTAAGAGATTTTTCTGTAAGAATTCTAGCACAATACCCTCTCAAGTTAAAACTACTAGTAGTTAGGATTTCTGCTTCTAAAATGGAGTTTCCAACAGGAACAGATCCACCATCCCAACAACGAAACAACCTTAACCAACCAAAAAAAAAAATCCCCAAACTTAAAAAGTAATAATAAAAAATTAAATCAGATAAAATACAAGAAACAATGGTTTTCAAGACACTGTACATGAACCAACAAAAGACAGTGGTCCCTGACAGATGGGAAACCAAGCCAAGTCCCATAACTTCCAGATATTGCTGTCTTTAAAGTTTATAGACGGTGGCACAGGTGAGAGAGCTCCAGTGGAGCCTGGTGGATTCTGAATTAGAGAGGAAGCTGAGAGTGCAGAGAGGACAACCGGCGCTTAACATATCAGAATGCCAGAGAGAGAACCCAAGACAGCATCTCTCCTAGTATATAGCAGAGAACACACACACATATGCAAGGGGAAGGACCATTCAAGACAATAAGAAATAACACACATACATATGTTTAATCTGCTTTTCTATTTATTTGCCTGACTATGGTTTTGAACGGGAGTCTTAGACCTGCGAGGCAGGTGCTCTTCCACTTGAACTATGGCTCTAGCCCTTTCTGCTTTATTTTTCAAATAGGGTCTTGTGTTTTTATCTGGGCTGGCCTGCACCATGATCCACCTACTTATGCTTCCTGCATAGCTGAGATGACAAGTACACAGTACTGTGCCCAGCTTTATTGGTTGAGATGGGGATCTCATAAGCTTTCTGCCCAAGCTGGTCTCAAACCATGATCTGATCTCCTGATCTCCTCAGCCAGAGTAGCTAAGGATTATAGACATGAGCTATCATGCCTAGCTAAAATACATTTTTAAGACTATATCTGCCATAGCTATTCCTCTGATGGATCTAGGCAAAGTGTGAATTATAAATCTCCTGGAAAAGATTCTCCATTGCAGATGCTATTAGGAACATTCATGATTCATGTGTAGCTCAGTAGTGAGAGGCATGCTTAGCATCTGCAAGGCCCTAAATTAAATCTACCACTCACCAAAAAGAAAAGAAAAGAATATGACTGATTTGAGCCTAGAACATAGAAACACATACTCAAAACAAATTAGCTATTTTTTCTGAAGAGTAATATGCGGCCAATTCACACTCCTACTTCTTCAAGAAAGCATGGTCTGATAAAAACTCTAGGCTTTTACCCATTTGTGACAGGCTATCAGACTCTAGGGGCATTAAACCTTTCATGCTGTTAGATTAACACAGGGAAATGTTAAAATCTAGAAGCCAATCTACAAAGGCTGAAAGATCGGGCACTAGAAAAACAGGCAGGATATGGTAGATGTGGGACTAAATTCATCCATATTCTGGCTGCCCCAGGAGAGAGATAAGGTTACTTTTAACAAGCGTTTTCTTTCAATTGCCCTCTCACACTTGCTAGTATTTCCTGAGCAACAATTGTAAATCTAAATTGAGTATTTCTCAAAGAGCATAAAATAGTTTTTATGGTATGAGTGAAACTCAAATGTTACATAAAGTTGTAATAGGGTAGAGGTAAGAAATCTCATTATTGCAACCCGGGCAGAGGGAAATCTTTTTATATGACTGAATATTAAGATTTAGAGGAATATAAGGCAGCACACTAGGAATGTGGCAAAAGGAAAACCAGACACATACAGATATCAGAATTGACTTCAACACATATGCTTGTATTGTTCTCTTTAAATAAGCTAGAGAATTAAGGAAAAGATGGAATTTTTTAAAAAGTGTGCGTGTGATTGTGTGTGTGTGGGTGCGTGGGTGTGAGGCCATGCCAATCCTTGGACTTGAACTCAGGCACTGACCCTGAGTTTTTTGGCTTAAGGTTAGCAGGCCAGCACTTGAGCCACAGCTACATCTCCAGCTTTTTTGGGTGGTTTAATTGGAGATAAGAGGCTAAGAGACTTTCCAGTCCAGGCTGGCTTTGAACTGTGTTCCTCAGATCTCAGCATCCTGAGAGTCTAGGATTATAGGCATGAGCCACTAGCACTTGGCTTTAAATTCAAACTTTAGAGGATAATCCTAAAATCATAGCTATCAGTTACAGATCTACCAACATAGAGATCTTATTCTAAACAGAGTAAAGAAAAGTACTCTTAGGGGCCGGGCTCAGTGCTAGAGTGCTTGCCTCGCATGCATGAGGCCTTGGGTTCGATTCTTCAGTACCACATAAGCAGAAAAAGCCAGAAGTGGCACTGTGGCTAGATCTAGTGATAGAGTGCTAGCCTTGAGCTGAAGAGCTGAGGGGCAGTGCTCAGGCTGAGTTCAGGCCCTGCGACCGACAAAAAAAAAAAGAAAAAAGAAAAGAGCCTAGCTCAATGGCTCATATCTACAATTCTAGCTACTCAGGAGGCTGAGGTCTAAGGGTTGCGGTTTGAAGCCAGTCCAGGAAAGACAATTCCCTGAGACTCTTAACTTCAATAAACCAGCAAAGCTGGAAGTAGAGGTGTAACTAAAGTGGTAGAGTGCCAGCCTTGAGTGAAAAAGACAAGCGAGAGCGGGAGACCCCGAGTTCAAACCCCCAGAACTGGTACACACACACACAAAGGTACTTAGGACACTGATAATTTGTTAAGTTCAATAACTTCAGACTTCACAACATAAATAAATAAAAATCAAATGTAATGAATCAAATTGAGTTTTTCAATGATGAAATGCAAAGAGTAAAATGAATAACAAAAAATTAAACGCAAAATTCATAATGTGTTAGCTCAAGTACTAAAAGAAGTAGCATAAACATTTGTTGTTGTTGTTGGTCATGGGGCTTAGGTGCTATCCCTGAGCTCTTCAGCTCAAGGCTAGTGCTCTACCACTCAAGCCACAGTGCCACTTTTGGTTTTTGAGTGGTTAATTGGAGAAAGTCTCACGGACTTTCTTGCCCAGACTGGCTTTGAACCAAGATACTTAGATCTCAGCCTCCTGAGTAGCTAGGATTACAGGCATAAGCCACTGGCTAGCATAAACAATTTTATATAAAGTTCTTACAAGAATTATTATCTCTACCAGTAAAACCTAAGCAAACATATAAGCATTGTTTTTCAAGGTATATCTTAGGTTTTGGTAATAGGACAGTTCCTAGAAATGATGGCTTCTACTCCATAGCTACTCCTTTCCTCACAAGGAAAAAATTAGCTAGACTTTCTGTCTTTAGTTCCACACTTCCTTATCCACTCCAAAAGAGCTTTAAGATCATTCCACCAAACAGCTCTAAATTCACAATCCATTTAGCACATATATTCTCACAAGAACAATATTGTCCCTAAGGTGACAAAGAATTTTTAGATATTACAATAGTCTGTAGCCCTCCAAAAAGACAAAGTACATTGAATAGAAACACATTTTATCTATGTATTAAAACTGAGAGTGGGAGGCAAGTGTGGAAAAAAAAATGTTAAAATGCTCCACAAAGGGAAAAATAGTGAAGGCTGAGACACACTGATGGATCATTACTCACTTTCTTTCAAGTTGTACTCTGCACTCACATAGCTGACTATTCCTTCTTTCTTGAAATTTTCTTCTATCAGTCTCTGTAACAACCTGGACCAACCTTCTCTGCCTCCTTTGCAAGCCCATCTTGCAAAGTTCTAGATCCTATACACTCTCCTCGTCTTACATTATACCCTCTCCCCAAGATACAGAATGTATGTCCCCTGTTATGTTACCACTACAACCACCTGTAATTCAGGAAGCTACGTAAAGATCCATTACAAATCATGTCCCTATGATCGAAACCTACTTAACTTAGCTGTCCATTTGACATCTCCATTGGATGTATTTTCTTGTTGAATAATTACTTTCTAAACAAGCTTCTATTCTCTTCCAATGTCTTCAAGTCCTCTATGTAAACATGCCTTTTACTTATATACAACAGAAACTAAAGAGGTCAAAAATCAATATCAATACCTCTGTTTTCTCACAATGATGTGGATACTATTATAGCAGTTCTGCTGCTTATGCTAAAAGGTATTCTGAAACCAGCATCAGATTTTCAGCAAGAGAAGTAACAATGTAAGAGGTTGCAAATTGATGTATGAACTTAATATTCTGGATGTGTGCAGAAATAAACAAGAAGACATCAATATTTACATTTTTAAGCATATCCTGAAAACACTGGAAAACTATGGTAAACAATATGAAAATATATTCTTAGGATATCAACAATAACACATGAATTCTTGTCACTCAGTTCTCTTCTACATCCTAAGGTCATACTTCATCCTTTACAAAACTTAATCCTTTACAAAATTAAACTAAAATAAAAACCTAAAACTCAACTGAGGGCTTTGACGCTTTGGAATCTTTCTGAGCAGTCACACCAACATTTTTAAATTAAAAAAAAATTTGCTTCTAAGAGAAAGAAACATTTATTTCAGAAGTGAAGTCAGAAAAAAAACTTTTTAAGGAGGTGGATAAAATCTAAGCTCTGACACAACAGGATTAAGGTATAATCTAGCAATCTAAATCTTTGCTTGCTGAACTTATTTTCTGTTCAAATTCTTTCTGTCTACCAGACCCTGATGCCAGGTGATTTCAGTCCCTCAGTGATTTCAGAAATCACAAATAGTAAGAATGATCACAGACTTCCCTGCCTGGGCTGGCTTTGAATCACAATCCTCAAATCTCAGTCTCCTGAGTAGCTAGGATTACAGGCATGATCCACTGGTGACCTGCAATCTGAGACTTATTTTTAAATTCCCCTTGACAGAACTCAGTTAACTTACTTA